GCACAGTATACATGTGATTGTATGGAATGAAATGGAAATAAACGTATTTTCACAGAAAAAAAGAATCAAAACACTACAGTTAGTACTTAAAGAAATTTGTTTAGCAATTCATTAAAATGATGATAATAATAATAATAATAATAATAATAATAATAATAATAATAATAATAATAATAATAATAATAATAATAAGACAACAGCCAAGTCATATTTTCCTTCAACAACAGAATCACCTTCTGGGCAACATGTTTAACAGTGCTTATCAATGAGATTCTATTTACCAATTATGACATAATTTAAATCATAATTTTCTGTTTGTAAACTATATGGAAATTCAAGTGTTTGGATCCAGCAGGCATACTTGCTTTGGAAATCAAATCCCAAGTGCCCTTTCTTCTGTACAAAATAGAGCTCCTAAAGAAATTTCTATGTCTTGTGTGCTCAATTAGCACTGCACACCAGGCACACCAGACCCAGCATTTTCTGGGACAACATTCTTTATATCAATGTCAAAAATGTACCGGTAGTTGAAATCCATAGTGTTAGAAAGGAAGGCAGCCAAGGCAAGAAGATACTTACCTGCAGTGGTTGAATTCCAGAAGCAATATGATTTGAGATCATCCGAACCTCAGCTCTCTTCTTTGGATCCTGCGGAAGGAGCCTTGGGAGTGGCCGGGTGTCCTCCAGATACTCTATGATGGCTAGCTGAAATAGACAGAGATTGATTCATTCATTCATTCATTCATTCATTCATTCATTCATTCATTCATTCATTCATTCATTCGGCTGCTCAAATGCCAATGGTAATGGGCAGTTTGCAGAGAATTAAAAGTATCTGTTTATTCGCAGGGCCTATAGTCCATCTATGCTGCCAGAGCAGCACAGCAATCATAGCAGCTCAATTTGCCCACTGTCCCAGCCATAGTCTGTGAGTAAAGCAGGATTTGTAAGGCTCTCTAAACGACCCTGCGGAAAATGCTATTGCAAAGGGCAGATGTGGAAAGAAGAAAAAATATAGATCTGTAAAATGACACTGGGCAAACCTGGAAAATGGCAGTCCTACAAATATTTTGTCCCTGTGCCATGGAAGGTATCTCTGCAGGTTCTGCATAAGTAGTGCTGCTCACGTAATGGGGGAATTGCTTGTGTACATTGAAATGATCTGTAACTGCTGCATTCTGGATCAGCTACAATTTCTGAGTCTTCTTCAAGAGCAGCCCCTTAAAGAATATTCTTCATCATTAGGCAGGAATGATTCTAGGGAGTTGATCAAAGAAAAAAGCCCGAGGAATTCCCATCCAGAATTGCAGTCCAAAATATCTGATTAAGGCAAGTGTCTTCAGCCTGTCTTAGCCCAGTGTCTGTATATTAGGGATTCTCATAGTTAGTTATGTTGTGGCCTTCCTACTGATCTAATACTTCTTAGGATACCAGATGCCACATTGGAAATACTTAGTCAACCCTAGAAAACTTTAAATGATCCTTCCCAAAAGAAGACTTCAAGGTAAGTGGGGTAGGAGAACCACAAGCACAAATCTTAGGCAATGTCCATCATATCCAGTTAAAAGCAGCCTCTTTCCTCTTTCCCAATAACTGTGTGTACACAATACGCTAATGAAATCTCTGTTGCAAGAAACACCAAGCCTAGGACTGCAAAGGGCAACCTGCCCCTCCCACCTCTGTGGAGCCCAAGTAAGTCAAATGACAAAACCAAATGTATTATTTGAAAAGTAGCAGAATTGGAAGAAAATGAGCTTAGCTGTCCACTGGGGACACTAACATGAGAGCATACCAGAGCTTGTGGGTCAAAGGAATAAAACCCACAAAATGCCGTATATTTCCAACAGTGTCCTGTTACAGAGTATGCAAGCAAAAGAAATTATTAGGTTAATATTTGTGTGTTGTTATCAAAACAACACATGCACACAACGGGGATGATAAAACAACAACAAGTACATATCAATTTGCTTGTTCTCTCTAGGATATTTAGAACATTTTTCATGTACTTTTGGGTGGAGGAACATCACTCTCCACCCATGTCACTGTCCTTCAATAATACCAGTATGGAGTTTGTTGACAGTCAGACCACAGATGCATTGTTTTGCAACATCTCATAATGCACTGAACACAAGAAGCATTAGATCAAGATAATTAGGAATTCCCTCTGCGTTCCTTCTTTATCTTATACTCTGCCTTCTCTCTGTTTGCCAAACTTCTAACCTCAAGGTCTTCCTCTTTTCCCTTCGCTCAAAGGCATGTATCAAAGGGTGATCTCTTCTCTTGGATCTCCTTCTAAGAGGATGTAGCCTGTTGGATACCAGTTTTTTCTGGCCACCACATTTCCTGTATTTTCTGTAAATAAGGCTTTTTTTCTGTTAGAATTACAAAACCTGTTTCAGTAATCTTTGAACAGATCGGGTCTTGTATTCCATGAATACAAAAAGCTTCCTCCAACATAAACCACTTAAATGCCTAGGGTTAAAGAAAATGAAAACTCTTCAGTATCAGGGTTGTCTTTCTTTCTAACTTAGTTCTTTAGACTTTATTGTTTAATTAATTAGCATGGCCTTCTCATTACCCACAGGAAAAGGAGGCATGACATCTTCACCCGTAAAGGTGAAGATTTTCATTCTAAACCGCAAGTTCCATTTCTGGAAACCATCCACATAGAATCTTGTGATTTGTCATTAAATTTGGCATTAAATTCACAGATTTTCTGGATAAACATTTAAACTGAACAGCGGGGACAGAGAATTAATTGATACAGAACATTTCTGTCTCCAGTAATCTACAATTCATAGAGTTATCAGTGCATGTAACATAGATGTTTGTGCAGGTAAGATTATCACTCCTG